CAATAGCTGATTAAAATTGAAGGTGGATGTGTTATTAAAGTGTTGGTTGAATCCCTGACTGGACACTTTTTTGCTTTTTTGAGTTGTCTTTAGCTTCTTTTTATTTTTGCTTCCCTCCAACCAGAGGTAGAGTTTGTGTTCATTCCAATCTAATTTCCAGAATATACAAAATTAGTCATTTATAAAAAACTGACAGGGTTTTGTTCCAAGCTTTTCTCTTGCCATGTGACAACTGCTATTATATCAGAAAAGCACAGCCTTAGGATTATTCAACATCTAAAAACCTGAGCTTTTCAGTTTGATCGTTTTCTAAGATATATCCTAAATCCAAAACTTTTGCATCCATTAATTTTATATACTTGCTTTTTCCTAGTCAGGGCTGAAGGAGGCTGGAGCCTTTTGCAGTTAAATAAGGGGTGCATCCATGCATTCTCACTTTTGCAGTTAATTTAGTCACCCGTTAATCTAACATTAACGTGTTTGGGTGGAGGCAGGAAGCTGGAGCTGGAAAAAACCCATCCATAGAGAGTTTGTCACCAGTTTTTGAACCAGGAACCCCGTTGTTGTGGGGCAACATTGTTAACGACCACCCGACCATGCAGCCGCAATCTGTTACAGTATTTTCAAAATTATAGTGTCAGAGGAAGGGTTGGTTTTTCAAGCTGTTCCACTCCGATAGCAAGTCATAATATTTAGATTGTACATAAAATCCTGAGCAATCAAAAGCACAGAAGAAGGACATTTTAATGGATTCATTCCCAATGCAGCAGCAAGATAGTTTTCAGTCTTTTTACATATTTTTACGCTGTTATTAGACCTAAATACATGTTTTCAAGGAAATCTCAAAATCTCAAACTACTCTCAAAACTAAGTTTACACACACTTTAAACTTTAAATTTACTTAATACGTTTCAATACGTTTTTTATGCAGTATGTACTTGTTTTTATCCATTTTAAATAACTGTACATGCTTGTTCCTGTTCGAAAAAGCTCCAAATCCATGACCATTTGTCTTATCTTATATCTATTTTACCAAGTTCAGAAATGAGCCAAGAGGTACCCAAATGCAATTTGGTGTTGGTGCACTGTAAAAAAAGCAGTTTAGAGTAAATGTATATGGCATGTTCCTCCTGATGTCTCATGAAAAGGCTTTCATATCAAAGCACAAACACAAACTAAAAGTGTCACAAATATTTTGCAGGGTGTTTTGTTTTTGTTTTTAATCTTGTATTAATTAATTGTTATTAAGTATTTAGTTTTTTGGCTTTGTGGGGAAATCATTCAGAAACCATTGGAATGTGGTTCAAAAGTTAAAGTTAATACATTATTATTATTTTTTTTCCCCTCCATGCAGTGCAAAATGACAAAATTGATACTATGTGAGTCAGTTTCTGGATGATATCGAGACTGTTGCATTTTCAATTCTTATTTCTCTAATTTGTGTTTTTTTGTCTTTCTTTTTTCTTTTACTAAACTTTTATTATGATTATGGTGTTTACTCTCCATTTAGAGTTGTATCAATTTACTTATTAATGGGCTTTCCCCCCCCTTAGGTTTTGGCTGCTCTACGCATGGTAATTTAATTCCTTTCGCAAAGAGACCTTGAAATGAAGCTGGAGAACAATATGATTGCGTAACAAACAAGTTTGGACTGGGCCTCAGATAGAGTCAACCTGCTCGTGTTGAGAATGAGCTTCTTGGCATGGCATTGAGCAACTCCGATCTTTATCCCGACGTGTGTGCTAGTAAATCTTGGCCAGCCTGAAGCTGTCAGCACTTCTCCTAGGACCAGCTGCCAATTTAAATTTGATTGATATAAAATCTACTTCTCCATCTTGGATTCATAATTCCAGGAGTTGGCAGATTTGTTGATTGACTTCCAAGGACTTTGCTGGCGTGTTGTATTAATAAGAATGAGTTCACCTATACTATTTTAAAGAATGTGGATGACAGCTTGTGACAGATGTTGGATGTTTGAAAGCTAATAGAAATGCAGTTATGTGACTTTTTAAATGTGCACATACATGTAAAATAAAGAAAATATATAGGCAACGTAAACAGAATGCTTTAGAACTCACAAGAAAAAAAGTTATGAACTGGTCAAAATACCATCTGTTTTTAGACCACTCAAACTATCACAAGTTAATGAAAGCACTGTTGTTGTTGAAGAAATGTCTGATATCTTGCTGTATTTTTTAAGTAAATTAGGTATTTATTTGGCAACCGCTATGCTTTTGTTTTTTGGAACGCTTCACCATGCTGTCTGGACATGGCGTAAAAAAATATTGAATATCATAGTACTTGTACTCTGGCCTGGCTTAGACAGAAGGAGCAGAAATCAATAAAAAGGACCTGTTGTCTGTCCCGTCCTCAGACAGCCAAATCCTAGTTTATTGAACATTCTTATTCCATAAGCTTTGCCAAAGGCCAGTTTCCACTCTGTCTGTTCTTAGAGTTCTTGGAAAGGAATAACGTGACACTCTCAGTGACAAAAATAGTGGTGAGTTTCGATGATGTCCCATGTAGTTGAGGGTCAAAAACAATGCGGGACATGTGCAGTTTATAAAAGTAGTAGCTTATTCGACAAAGACACAGATCACTTCTTCTTATAATCATTTCATTATAGAGTTATTACCCGCTTTTAAGACAGTATCACACATTAAAAAATTTATAATATGAACACATTTGACAACAGTGCATCACTGCACCATAATACTTTATTTTTCTTACTGGCCTCATCATAGACACTATCATACATTAATGACACTAATACACTTTTATATCAATTGCATATTCATTATGTAATTAACATTTTGTTATCAAGTCGTTTGGGTGTTCAGAACCAAATTGCAAAGATAACTTTTACATCCATAAATACACATTTTGAATACAAATATAAACCCACTATCCTTATATGAGAGAAAACTACCCCATACAATGGTACATAGTCTAGTTATTCAACTTTTTAGGTTCTGCTATTCCCATATAACATGGAGAGGAAAAATGCAAACCAAATAAAAGCTTTGGTCTCAGGAGTTAAGAAGTCTTTGTTAAAACGGTGAGTGGCTCGCCTCATTAACGTGTCTGTCAGGAGAACTGTTTGTTGACTGCTGCGCTGGTTAGGGCAGGCTGCCACTGGAGGATGTGTTTTTATTTTTTTATTTTGTCCCTTCGAAAATTATATTTGCTCTTCAAACATTGCTGTAATGCCAGGGAAAAACAATCAACTGGCCATTTATATGAGAATGTTTTGTGGTTAGTCTGGTGCATTGTGTGAGAGAGTGCAGAAGGGAGTTTTAAAACCCATAGGCTCAAAAGAAAAAAATAATGGGAGAACACTATGGGACAAGAGTAGTGACAACATAATTAAGAATGAGTATGATAGAATGAGAAAAGAAGAGTAATGGATTGAAACAGGAAAAAAAAGCCAAAACAACAGGAAATTGGTGCAGACATGATCAAGCATGTTCATGGTCAATGTTTTTTTGAACATACAGTACATAAAAGAATAATATTCTGTCAGTTTGAGCGCTTTTAATGTTGTATCTTTACAAGTTTTTTCAAAGAGAGGAACCTGATTCTTCTCAGATTTGACAGAACTGTCAGCTTTAGCACAAGCTAGAACATCTCAGTTGTGGGAAGAACATTTGTGTACTTTCAAATCCCTAAAACATCCACCTGATCAGGGGGAAAAAAAGAGAAAACTTACCACAGCAGGCTGCGTTCAACCTTAAAATCCAATAAATTTGCCGTTAGAACTGAATCCATCAAGTCATTTTTTAAATCTTTTTTTAATTTATCTTTTTTTAGATTGACTCAACAACATCAGTTGATAGTTTTAGAGGAAAATCACTGGCATTAGTGTCCTAAAAATGTCAGAGTCCTAGTTCTGAAGATTCTTTTTCTCAGGCCAGATTCAAACAATACAATATTTATGACTCAGAGATACTTTTGTTTGTTCAGAAAGAGCAGCAACTGACATTTTCATTCACTTCACTGTTGTCACTTTTTATTTATTTCCTTATTTTACAGATGAATTTGTGAAAAATGGAACATATGAAAATATCCACATATTCAAAGACGGTGACATAAGAAGTCACGTTTACAGGGGCGATCAGAAAACTGAAAAGTGTGGAATATTGTGTAGAGTTGACAGTGAGTGCTTTCTTTAGGGATTCAAGAGAATCCAGATTAGCAAGAAAGACAACAATGCATCCGTGAAAACATTAATCCCCACTATGGACAGTCAAGCTTTAAGTTCGTAAATAATATTAAGGCGTTTCTCCTCTTGTCATGCAATAGAAAGGACGATTTGAAGTGTGGAGTAAAACCATTAAAACTTTAGATATTTCTTTTAATGAAATGTTCAGGAGACTAGGAAGAATAAAAGAAAAGAAATGTAAAAACCAAGAGTTTTGAAACTTTATCATCTGTTCCAAAGGAAATGTTTTATGTAACAAAAATGGATATTGACTTTTTATAGATTAAATTACCCTGAACAACAGCCAGGTAGTTTTTCCATAACAGTTTTATCCTTTTGAAGTATTAAAACACCGCATTTGTATCTTTGAATGAAGAAAACAATGGATTATGAATGATATATTTTCATGTATTTTGTCATTTTTCAGTTTCATTTTTCATTTTTAAAGCACATGGAATATGGACACTTAGAAAATGGCCATATTAAAAACCTCCTGGTCTGACTAAACACTGACCAGTGAAGCAACTGCACATCTGCAGGCAAAAATAACAGGGATCTGACCTAAAAAACAACAAGGACGGGGGCAGAGAAACCCATCTCCCGGCTGCATGCTGAGATAGGGGATTTAACATTCACAACAGATATTGGCAGAGCTTACCGGGTTCAGTGTCACCTTTTTTTTCCCCCCCGTTTTTTTATTTATTAACGTTGATGATCTCATGGAGCTTTGTCTGTGCAGATCCTCATCAGCCACAAAGTGAATAACCCGATCTGATTTTCCATCGAGTTGCGATCAGACATGTTCTCCACATCGGGGGCGGATTATTTAAAAACAGAGAAGATCTCGTCTCGCTCGGTCTGTGGAACAGATAAACCGATTTGCTGCGGTGCAAATTGTTGCTGTGGGTTCCGTGCTGTGAAATTTGCACTGCTTTCACTCCATCTTCTCTTCCAGCAACCCCCTGCCTGAGTCAGTTCTTCTGAAGGTGCTCATTGATGGTTACTCACTCTCAGTGTGAAGCAGTGAAATAAGTTTACAACCTCAGCATGTACCCAGAGTTGCGTTTTATTTATTAAAATGCAAATAAATATAATACATTAAATGATGCGGAATGCTAAGATGACTTTTACAACATTTGCATTTAAAAAAAGATAAAAAATTCAGCATCCGGTCTAGTTGCAAACATTAGCATTCTCAGTTCAAAGTTTCAAAATCGCCTTCTGCAACCCAAGAATGAAAAGACAGTTAACCGTCAAGCAGTTTATACTCACGTCAGCTTCTCCTTATCTCAAACCCTGAAGTTAGTTAGATGCTGTGACCTAATCCCCAACCTACACTCTCCCCCACATACACACACACACTCACACAAATGAAATAACACCCATCCACTGAGCTGTAAGAGAGTAAAAAGGTTACTGAACGCTTTTCTTCCTCTCCCTCCTCAGAGCACGAAGCGCAACCTGAGCTCTTCATCTTCAAAGAGCTGTGCGCGCTGAAAGATGATCCGGGGCCGTGCAAGGCCCTGAAGGACAGATTCTTCTTCAACGTAAACACGGGACAATGCGAGCAATTCGAGTATGGAGGCTGTGGGGGGAATGAAAACAACTTCGAGACCTTGGAGAAGTGTGAGGAAACCTGTGTCGTCTCAGGTGAGTCCGACGCCATTTTGATTAGATTTTTTGAGATGTTTCCTTTTTTTTCCCCGGTTTGACTAAGCAGAGATTAAAAATCTCCATGTTTTAAGAGGCAGGGATAAAGAAAATGAAGTTGCTCTCATAATGGCAGCTTACAGCATATGTTATAGCCTTGGAATTGAATGCTGTTTTGTGTAAATGTTCATTTTTGTTCTCAAGTACTGTTGCTCCTCATTAGACTTTATTGCCACCTTGGGCATAAAATCCTATTACAAAGTCATTTTGTCGCTTTGCAGCTAACATGGAACATTGGCAAGACATTAATTTAGAACTTTTTTGCTTAGGGCATCTGCATAATGTAAAAAAAAAAAAAAAAGGCACTACATACAGTATCACGTATAGATTACAAAATGCTAAAGAGCTGATATGTTAAAGGTGAATTAATCATTCAGAACTTTTCAAGGAGTGCTCAGACTCCCAACATTCAGATTTCCCTCTTCAGTTTGGGGCTGAGGGAGAAGTCCCATTATACAGGAAATTGGTTTTGAATCTCCAGACAAGGATTATGGGTAAGCCAACAGAAATCGAGATAGTGAAGACACCCGAGTAAAACTCTGCACAGAAATGCATTGCTACATATGTTTAAATAATTAGATTGGTTTGAGTCAAAGATGTAAATAATACCAACACTTCAATGACTTGAGGGATTTTTTTAACTTTGAAAATCCAGATTGTTTTATGGTAAGCCACAATTTGCGAGGCCTGGTATAAGAACTCTCGTAAATTGGCTAGGCTGCATTGGGACCAGTCTATTTACTGATCTTCCTTTTTGATAATTAAGTCATACCAAACAAAACACCAATAGTGCTATATCAGTTCAGTCATCACTTCAAGCAGCTTCTTTGGAATTAGCAGCAGCGTAAGTGTTGTGACATCTTCTTGGTAAGAGCATCATGGTTATTTTACCATACAAACAGACTATTTTGCCCCTGTGAGCAACATTGATGTACCGCTACATCACACTTGTGTGTAAAAAGGAATTTACTGGTTATTGGTACATAAAAAATAAAAAAAAACTCTAATCTACATCTACTTAACTCACCTTGGTTCATTCTTCACTTTTTAGTTGCAATGGATAAAAGTATGTTTATGTAATCTAATGGTCATAGAGGAGAGAAAAAAAACTCTACATCTTCCACATAAGATGTTCACAATCAGAATCAGAATCAGAATCAGAATCAGAAATACTTTAATAATCCCAGAGGGAAATTAGTTTTGTTACTGGCTCCATAAATAAAACAGCGGCATATACATATATACATGTCTGTACATATATATACAAAATTCCTCATATGATATAGATAGATATATACATAAATAAAAAATAAAAACTATATGTATATATATAGGTCAAAATAAGTGGTGGATAATGTCAATAAAGGTTAAGTTTGACTCTCAGAGGGAGGCGTTATGCAGATTGATGACCACAGGCTCATGGCTCCCTGTCCTGTCCTCATGGTAAAAGGACAGTATACATCTTATTAGGCAACTACATTTGAAACATTTCGGGAGAAAAAACAACCATTTTTAGAGCAGTAAATATATAACATCGAGTTTAGGGTGTGACCGTCTGTCTTTTACACCTGAAGTAGGTTCAATATTAAAGAAACATGTGCATTCTGCCAAGACCTGTTCCAAAAGATCCTTATTTAAAGTGCTCAAAATACTGTACTTTGGTCACTGTAGATTCTAGTTGGATTGGTTGTAGTACTGTGTTCATGAGAACATAAAGGAAATAAATAAATAAAAACACATCAGTGTCAACATCCATGACCTGACAATGCAGATAAAGAAGGTACAAGAAGTTCCTTTTTTCAGATCTTTTCTTTAATCTTTTTTTTTCTTTTTTCTGCCAGATGGAAAATTTTTCTCAGCCCATATCTTTCCGAACAACACATTCTTTCACAATATCACAAGTTAAAGCATGCTTTGCGGTATTTGTTTCCTTTCGCCACAGAATTGTTTGACTGAGATTAATCCGAACATGAAGTAAACAGTGATGCTAACAGTAAATTATAATTGTTTCCTTTTTTTCCCCTGACTTTTTTGTTACTTTTTCTCCCAAACATAGCAAGTTTTGTGGAAAAATGTAACTCTAAAGGATCGAGCAGTCACATAAACAAAGATTTATGTTTAAATTTGACCTCCAGTTAGCTGAAGCAATAATTATTTAACCCATGCATATAAACCATCCATCCATCCATCATCGTTACCGCCTATTCCCTAATGGGGTCGCGGGGAGAACTGGAGCCTATCCCAGTGGTCAATGGGGAGAGGCGGGGTACACCCTGGACAGTCCACCAGTCCACCGCAGGGCCACACAGAGACACACAAGGACCAACAACCACACACACTCACTCCTAAGGGCAATTCGGAACGTCCAATCAATCTAACATGCAGGTTTTTGGACTGTGGGAGGAAGCCCGAGAACCCGGAGAGAACCCACAGACACAGGAGAACATGCAAACTCCCTCCAGAAAGGTCCTGGGTCTCCCGGGATTCGAACCCAGAACCTTCTTGCTGTGAGGGAATGATGCTAACCACCACACACACCCACATATAAACCATATTCATGCTAAATACTTGACGCTATTGTTTATTTTTTAAAGAACTGTGATTAAGTCCATCTGTATTGTTCAAAAACCTTAAATTCTAACCCTCACCCATTTCACAGTAGCATTAACTGAGTATCAGTTTTGCACACCTTAAAACACAAAGTTTATCTTTCACAATCAAGAAAGAAAACTGCCACACTGGGCTGAGGTTACCATTTAGAGAGGAGTTTCCACAGAGTGATTGTTTGGCTTCAGAGACTTTCTTTTGTTAGCATGACGTGATTTTCATATGACTTCTGAATGAAACTGTGGAAAAGACATCCTCCAACAAAGTCAAACTGCAGAGTTTTCTATATTTTAACACACCCTTTTCCTCAGATTAACAGAAATGTTTATACGGGTGTCTGGATGGAAAAAAAAAAGTATCATCATCATCATTGATAAAGCCGTCCATGTTATATGTCACATAAAATATGCTTTGGAGACAAAGTGATCATTGTACTGCCATTGATTTAAATGTAATCGGTCGTTTGAAAAGCGTAGTGAGGCCGGCCAAGTACAGCTTTGACAATGAAACGGTATACTGACCTCAGTGCTTTCAGCTTTTTATTTGAGTGGTCCTTCATGTATATACAATACCACTACGGCACTCAGAAGCAATGGAAACAGCAACAGCTAAATCTTTATTGTGTCGGAGTTCAATTTATGTACAGTTGAACCGGCATTTGGCAGGCTGGAACAGTGCTGAAAAACATGTCAAAGTAAGAAAACCTGAGAATGATACATGGCCACCCCTGTCTATCCCCGCTCAGTAAATAGATCTGTCATCTACAGAGAGTAAACAGCAGTTTTTTACACTTTGACATGTCTGATCTACATGATAACACATCTGTGTGGCGTGTTAGTTTCTAATATGACAAAGTGCTCTCAGCCAGTGGCAAACATTAACCTTCACCTAACTGCATGCTATAGATTCCATTATGCACCCAGACAAGAGGATAAGGAACGAATTTTGATTCAGAAGGCTTGTCACGTTCATTCTATCAGTTTCCACACAATAAATATATATATATATATCATGAGTGCATGGCATGTCCATAATATATGTGTATAGATATATTTTATGAACAGTTCTGCATCACTCAACAAATGGCAGATATCTACAGTCATACGTTAAATGTCCAGATAAAAAAAATACAGTATCAATGGTACAATGCATATACATACAGTATAAAAATATATCAGAATCAGAATCAGAATAACGTTTATTGCCAAGTAGTCTTTTCACCTTAAAGGAATTTGCTTTGGTGTTTGGTGCACAACACTTCTATGAGAAACAAGAAAGGACATACAATTTAGAAATAAAAATATAAAAATATAGAATCTATATATTCCTAATCCCTATTAATTAATCCTAATAATATATATGTATTATTGGCAGTGTCTGGGGGTTGAGAGGACATGCCGTTTTGTTGTAAATTCAAAGATTCCATCAGGCGAGGAGGTGAGATTGAAGAAAGGTTACTGTAGCTGTAAAGATACTTAATCTACAAATATCTGGTTGGTAAAGGGGAGGAAATAATGACTCACTCTCTGGACTCTCGGTGAAACAAGATTCGGAGCCCAGCGTGCCTCTGATCTTCTTCAGAGCCGAAACAGGAGGTGGAACGAGAGACAGCCACAAACAGCATAACGGAAACACTCTTGTAAAGGTCACAAAAGCAACGTGAGGAACATTCTGGCTTGCAGTCCTGGAAACTATTCTCCTTTTGTGTCTGCAGCCAAGCGGGCTGTCTTTTTATCCCCGGTGTTGCACTGAAACCGCTGAAACCTTAATCATTGGGTCTTAAACCCTCGCAATACTTGACCATAGTCACTCTAAAGTCTTTCCTTTCAGCGAATAAGCCCGAAACCAACCCCTGCCAGAACAAAACCCGTCCGTCTTCTCTCATTTTACCTCTAACGTCAGTGTTGTTGGGTTGTCCTTTAACTGGCATGTTTTCCACTATTCTTTTCACCTTTCTTTGGTAGCACGTATCGCTAAAAGCTAAGATATTACATTACTCGTCCATCAAAGAGGAATTTGGCCATTTACTGGCTACAACGGTATCAACAGTATAGCCAAGAAACATGTAATTCTTATAATTACTGCTATTTTAACCAACAGAAATATCCAGCAATCCATTTTCAATGTATTTTCGGCCTAAATTTGAAGTAAACGAACATTAATATCCAAGACTTTTACTGTTCTGTTTTGCATTTCATACAGTTTGTCATTTATTGAGTGATGAAGAACATTTGCAGCAAATAAACAGCTCATGAAAATAACTGCCAATGCTAATCTTTAGTCACAGACCTGGCAGGGCCACTTAACTCCCAGAGACATTTCATCTCTGAGAATTATTCAGCCATTCCGGTTTTATTGCAGCATTTTCAGTCATTTAAATTTTCTGCTGAGATAACACAGCCGTGTTTTCTCTCCTCTGAGGTCAAATTGCAAATGCTGGCCCCGTTTGCACTGTGTGGCTTCCACCCCCCTCTCTGTGCCTATGAATAGCTACTTAAAAACACCAGAACATCATAGAAATGATGGTTTTATATTGCAAAAGAACACCCTAAGTTCTTTGTAGTTCCTCTGTCTTCCTCTAGTGGCCATTGGAATTTTAACACACAACAAGTTGATAATCTTTTCCCTTATTTTTAGATATAGGTAAAGCATGAAAGATCAATACTGCGTGATGGCCATTAAAAGTATTTTGTTCCAAATGTGTCTGATTTTCTGAAGACAACAAAGTGAAGAGGCAAAAATATGTATAAAGACTGGAGCAGAAAGTTATTTGAATAGATTTTTCATTGGACACTGTCCTGATATCTCACCAGTATTTCTGTTAAGAAGGCAAAATATTAGAATTCTTAGATTAAAACCATCATTTCCTGCTTCCCTCTAGTATCCATACCCCCCAAAATGTCCTAATCCATGTCTGACATTGTTTGATTGAGGTTGTTTTTTTATGAAAAGTCAAAATTCCTGACTATTTGTGAAAAAAAAGGTTGCAGATAATCCTTTGCTAAACACACATCACCTGTTCCACCTTCACAGATTTAATAGAACAGCATTTTTGGAATTATTCATAATGTCACTGTTCCAGAGAGGGAACTGGCCTTTCACCTTTTCACGCATGTGTTTGCCCAGCGCCTTAAAGTCAAAGTCACCTCATGAAATATATTTAGGTGTTACAATGATTGCATTTTAATCACGGTTGCCCTTTAGCGTAGCGTGGCTATTCAAAGACTTAAAAGATAAGTCAAAGCAAGGAAGCCAAACTTCCTCGGTTTGACATCCCCTGGCAGTTATTATTAGAAATCCTTAGATCCTACAATATAGTGAGTTTGGAGTAGAAAGGAGAATATAATTGATCACAACTCTGCCCAGCAGAATACGAAGTAAGTTTCGACCATGTGTGATTGATTACGTATTTTATTTGTCGGCTTGTTTGTCGATAAATAACAATCTGTGGTCAGTTGATTGCTGCAGTCTTGATGTGAACTTGCGATGCCCTGACTTTTCTCCTTTACCTCCAAAGTACTTTAGTAACTGAATACGCTCAGTTTACAGTGTGCAGAGGAAACTGAGAAGAGAAAAAAACACTCACTCACACCAACACACACAATTGAGAAAAACAACATTAAAAGGACAGCGTTAAGAGGAAATGAGTCCAGTTACCATCATTTCTTTTCACAATTCAATTCAGGGTGTTGCCAGGTCTTAAGTCTGTCCTAACAGCCATAGTTTGAAAGGCAGGGCACACCCCAGAATCAGAATCAAAATAAGGTTTATTGCCAAGTAGGTTTTCAGACTTACAAGGAATTTGCCTTGGTGTTTAGTGCACAACACAACACTTCTATGAGAAGCAAGAATAAAAAGTAAAAATAAAGATATAGGGCAGAATGATAAAACTGAAAAATACAATCTTTAAAAGTATAAATCTGAATGTACAAATTAACAATCTTTAAAAATATAGATTTGAATGTGCAAATTAACAATTGAAATGTGCAATGTTGATCTGCAACGACAGACCAGAAAATGCTGGAGCATTGGGTAAATTAGTGAGGTAGAGGGGGGGGGGAGAAGAATAGGTGGGGGTCGCTGGTCTTGTTGATGAGGCCAGTTGCTGTTGGATAAAAACTGTCTTTATGGCGTGAGGTTTTGGTCCTGATGGTCCTCAACCTTCTGCCAGAGGGGAGAGTTTCAAAGAGTTTGTGACCAGGGTGAGAAGGATCAGACATGATCCTTCCTGCACGCCTTAAAGTCCTGGAGGCGTACAGGTCCTGAAGGGATGGCAGATCACAGCCAATCACCTTCTCGGCTGAGCGAATTATACGCTGCAGTCGGCCCTTGTCCTTAGCGGTGGCAGCAGCGTACCAGATGGAGATGGAGGAGGTGAGGATGGACTCAATGATGGCTGTGTAGAAGTGCACCATCATTGCATTGGGCAGGTTGAACTTCTTCAGCTGCCGCAGGAAGAACATCCTCTGCTGGGCTTTTGTTGTGAGGGATCTGATGTTCAGCTCCCACTTGAGGTCCTGGGTTATTGTGATCCACCTGGGATGGACTGAGACAAACAACCGTGCACATTCACACCTAGAATCAATTGAAAGACACAAGTTAATATACCTGTTTTTGAATGGAGTTAGTGCAACAGATAATAAAAATAGAACCTCTGCTACCGCTTCTACTACTAAAAATGATAGTGATAATAATTCTTATCTTAATAAAAAGCTTACTCGCTTTGAATTGATACTGTAATGTAAATTTAAACAGTACAGTTTAACCACCACTACCCCCTATACGTAGGAAATCGATATTTGAAAGGAAGATGAATCAGAAAGAGAAATTAAATTAAAAATAAATTAATGTACAGTAATTGTCTAATTTTTGTAGATAAAGTGATATTATATATTATATTTATATTTTAAATAATATTTTTAAAGTGACTTTACTCAAATCTTTAAACAATCTTCATTTAAAATTACATGAAAATATTTAGTGTGAAATTTAAAAAAAAAAAGTTTTCAAAAAACAGTTTATGGAGTTGCTGCAGGTCTTGCTTCATTCCCAACGTTTTTTTTTCTTTTTTCTTTCTTTTTTTCTTCTCCTTTGGTACAATGCGTTATGGTACATTTGCTGGCATAGCGACTACTGATGCTACACATTTTGTTACAATAGAGGAATTCCCTGAGGACACTATAAGATACTGAAGCTGTGCAAAACAGTTGGACTTCAAACTCTGCTCACTACTCAGTGAACTGTGTGTAATCGGCTAAAAAGCCACTGATCGTCTACACCTCTTTAGACAGTTAGGACCATAATAAATTAGTGCAGGCTATAATAGAGTCTTTCACATTTCTCTCCGTGATCTTCCTTTCCTAGATGACAAAAACCCGTGCCATTTACCGGAGGCCCCCGGCCCCTGTCGAGGACTGGTGACGCGCTACTTCTTTGACAGCAAAAGTCAGCAGTGCAAGCATTTCTTCTATGGCGGCTGCTTTGGAAATGCCAACAACTTCAAGAGAATGGCTGATTGCCAAGTGAAATGTCAAAATCCAGGTAGGTCTGGCTGAACTTTTAATCTCTTGTCTGGCAGGCACCCAAACTGCCAACACGTCATTGATGAGTTCTATTCAAAAGCAAATGTAAAGGTTCAGGACAAAACATAAGACCTTGTTCAAAATAAATCACTACTAAACTGAGTAATGTACATCTTAATTTATATACAATTTTGGAATCTACATTCCATCTTTAGTCATTTATCCCATGTTTCCATTAAGAATGCATTGCAAACAAACAATAATCCCCTTTCCTTTAAAACATTATGGAGGGTTTCAGGATCAATACTCAGTGGAATCATGGCAGATCCCAGTTTCCACACAACAAGGACTGAAAACAACATCATGAAAAACATTCTGCCTCAGAAAACCGACTCTCTGATTGATTTTCAGCTTAGCGTGAAATCCCTTTTTCAGTTGGATTTAGCATTCATATGATTTTACCCCACAAAAGCGGTCCGAATTATGCTAAACTGTAGAATGGCTTGGGTGTCGAAGCGATCAGTCGAATAAAAAAGGCAAGTTGTTAGGCTGTAACCGTTTTAGCCATAATCCCATCCACCCTTTCATACTGCCTTCTGGGTCAACAGTCCATCACAGTTTCTTCTGTCCCCTTTTTTTTTTAAAGGAAGTCATTTGAGTCTGTTAGAATTTTTAGATTGAACCAAATCCGTTGTCAGTGTGTTTTGCCCTTTAGGTCAACGTTGTGTGTGCAGTGATGAAAACACTAATAGACTTTTTCTCCTTTTCGTTTCTGTGTTCCGTTTTATATGTGTCCAGTGAAACCTACCATGGTAGTAGAGGTCCACACACAACCTGCCGATGAACCAAACGATGTGCAGCCAACTGTTTTAACAGGTAAAAACCGACAACCCGCCACTCTCTAATTCTTGATAAGCACCCTGTCTAAAATGTTCTTTATGGATGTACTTTTAAAAAAAGCTTTAGAGCATTTTAACAACTGCTTTTTGCAGCTATTGATTATGAGTAAAAAAAAGTGGAGTCAGACTACTTGAGTCAGATGAGAAAACTCATGGTGGCACTTATGTTTGCTATTTATTGAGTGATATTTGGAGGTTTTGAGGTGCCACCTTGTTCAATTACAAGCTCTGCTAGCTCAGACTTCCCCTTCTGATTGTTCAAGCATTCCAAAAATAATTGGTACCACAGGGATGCTTTATCTTAGCCAAATTGGCTGCCCGAAGGCTCTAAAGTTCCTTAGTGGTTTGCTTCCCATTTGTGGTTGTGATGTCCACTTTCCAACCAGCCGAAGACTTTTTGCTCAGCTTTTAGTTTACTGTTTTCTTCTAACTTGAGACAACTTCTCCTAAAGAGCTTGAAAGGTTCTGCTTTGGTCCATCCAGCCACACATGCATGCATATAGGCCGTCTGTCTCACCTTTCTGAGGAAATATGAATTAATAGGCTACTAATGGCTAAATAGGCTGGTCTGAAGATTCAAAGCGGTCTTTTTTAATCGTTGTTTAATGATTTTACTCATGGTGAGCATGTTAAAGGATTGTGAACATCTCGTCAAGAGGTAAATCATCAAAGGGAGAAATTCAGTAAACTATTTGATTTGGTATTAATAAAAGTGGAACGTTGTCCTTGTGTTAAGAATGTAGCAATATTTTAAAAAGGTTGTCTTCAGAAAAACTTTATAATTTACTTTAGCAACTTGGATGTTTTAACTTGAGTGACAAATTTATTACATTACCATGCTATCACATCTTGTTCTTGGAAGGAAAGCTAATGTAGGAGTATTGATGTGCTAGCATATGTTTCTATCTTCAGAGAACCCCCCGGCAAGCGAACCTCTGGTCCAACTGAACAGCTCTAGACAAGAGAGACATGAGAGAATTGGTAAGTTTATGACTTTAAATGTAGACTAAAGCAGATCCCACATGAAACAAACAACTACAACAACACAAAACGTTCAAAATTGCCCTAAAAGGAAAGATGGGAATGCTGTGTATCGATCTTTTATGATTCTTTGCTCTGGTAGCACCCATAGTGACATAAGCAGAACTACTCCCTTTCACTAGAGCTATAGACAATATACAATTTGACATAATCTCATCTAAAAAGTCTGAGTGAAAAACTTTTAGAGCTACCAGCTCTAGCATGAAATTAATTGAGACCTAACAGCGCAGAGCCTAAAGTGCCAATAACACTGTTCATTTCTTACAGAGTTCTATAAGGTGGGAAAGACTAGGGGTTGTGAAGAGTAATCAAACCACTCATCTTGTCCTAAGAGGAGTTTCTGTTAAATTCTGACGTATGCAGAGACCTCAAACTGAGGACATCCAGAACCATTTATGAAAAGTTTGTGTTCTTTTTAGATGAAGTGCAGTGGCGCATAGATGGTGGACAGCTTGTAAAATTGCTTTTGTTGTGAAGAGCAAAGGGCAGAAACTGGGGTGCATCCACGGGTCCCCTCACCCCCCCCCCCCCACCGTTTGTCACTAGGTCCCACTCATTCATTTCCTCAGTCTTACCTGAAAGGAGGCGTATATCCCAGCTGTCATGTTCCAAGGCTTTTTTGAGCAGAAGTGGGAGAGCACAAAAGGGAAAACCGGGCCCATCCGTCTCAAGTCAGCCTGTGATAATTCTAAGAATTCAATTTCACTCCTGTCAGAAAATATTGAGAGAGAAAGATTCAGGATGAGCTCCCTTCATCTTCCCACTCCTTCTCTGTCCTTTCTTTGACTTATACTTTTGGCTGATATCTTCAGTGTTTTTGACAAAGCATCTCTGACATAAAAAACAAAAAAAAACAAAAAAAGAAAGGAAAACTGGATTTAAAAAAAGCTTGCAAAACAATGTTGTCATTAAGTGGTCAGGTTATGCTGCACACCTGAATATGAATACAGCTCATAGTGGCTGGAAAATTAGCACAAGAGTTCTTAAAATGGCCCTGTTGAGATCAGAGACTGACACCTTGTGGTTTTTTCTTGTAGCACACTTTTATGACCGAGGACTTTAGGAGCTGCAGGCCTTCCTGTATACTTATTCTCGAGTTGAAGTTTGTTTTTCACCATGAATTGTAACACTGCTCGATACCCATATTTGTTTCTTGAACTTTATAACAGTTGAACTTTCAGATATTTGACTAGAAATGAAAAAAATGTGTTCTCTTATTACAGCTGTAGTTGTAAGTAAGAGACTGTTCTTCCTTTAGCTTATGTAAAAAATAGAAAGTTTTAAAGTGTTGTGATTTACCTAATACATCAAATCATATCTGTGTTGTGTGTCTTGTTTGTTGTTTAAAGGTGGACTTTATTTATAAATTATTTACATGAAATTTTGTGGGGCAAAATGCAAAAAAAACAAAACATCAAATCAATAACAACATTTAAGTTTTAAAAATTTTTTATAAAGGCAACAATGATTTAACTAAGCTAAAGAGTGTTTCATTGGAATGTTTTAGTGACAGACTGACAAATTTGAATGCATTGTTTTAAGCTTTTTTTCCCCCTCTCACTAAATCAATAAGACAAATATTTCCATCAACCATTCGTTCCTTACGTCCAACCTTCCTTTTTTAATTTCTTAATTGTGTCTTGATTTCATTCATGGTTTCCAGAGGCTGCTGTCATTGGTTGTTGGGATGTACAATGAACAGATTGTCTATCACATTGCCACAAAAACCATAGTGCCAGCCATATAAATGTTGGAAATTGAGATGCTAATATTTTGTCCACAGTACTACTTTCTTTTGTTTTTACTTTGACGCTATAATGGGAAATGTTGGATATTTAAATCCTTAATGTTTATAAAGGATTTTTTACCTTTTTTTGACGACTTTTAATTAAAATGGATATGAAGGGGGATTTTATCTATAAAACAGATATAAAGTTGTTCAAACTGGATACTTAATATTTAAAGAAAAAATCATTTTTGAGAGAATTTAAGAAAGAAATGGCATTTACCTGTTTATTCACTATGGAGTTCTAAATCATAATCTGTGAAAAATGCTTTCAGAGATCAACAGATAAATAAACTAAAATCAAAGTTATTGATGAGGTAACCATTCACGGCATCCAACAAGAGACTTACCCGTCTCTGCGAAAGTAGACTCAACAAAATAATGACCTTAGGGGGTTGAATGCTTAATTTTCTGAATATTTTGACACTTAAAACTGTTTTTTAAATAAATTTAATCATGAAAAGTTCCAAAAAAAGCCATTTTTATTACAGGCAAACAAAATAGTCAAAAGTAGAGTCAACAAACTAATGACTTTAGGGGGTTGAATGCTTATTTTTCTGAATATTTTGACATTTAAAACAGTTTTTTAAATCAATTTAATCATGCAGAGTTCCAAAAAAGCCATTTCTATTACAGGCAAACAAAATAGTAAAAGAATATTGAAGGGTGGATTCTGTGTTAAGATTCTGTAAAACATTTCATGATTTGTTGGTTAATATTTGAGGGACTATAGACACGGATAAATGCTGACAGATTATGCTCAAAGTACCCATGGGGACCTTTAACCCCTATGGCTCTGAGTTTGGGGAGGAAATTATGGGAAATTATTTGATTAAATTAATTTATTAATCCATCCATCCAATGATTTGACTATAGGCCCTAACCACTATGATTCTAATTTTGATTGGTTATGTGAAATTATTAGATTTCACATTAATCCACTTTGAGAAACAACATCCTCCACTCCTTTCTGGATGCTACAAGCAAACCGCATTGATTCTAACTGACTAAAAACTTCAGAAGGATGTGCCATCATCATCTAATTTTCAACTTAATGTCAATTTCTCAAATTAAATCCACCCTTTTCAGATATTTGCCTAAGCCCGGTGGACAGAGGCACGTGTGACGGAGCGGTGAAGAGATTTGCGTACAACCCGGAAACCCGGCGGTGCCAGCTCTTTTACTACAGCGGCTGCGGAGGAAACAACAACCGATTCCTGTACCGCAAACACTGTGTTCACAAGTGCATTAAAAGCAGAAAGGGTACGGTCATTGGAAGAGAGTGTGTTTCCATTGTAGATCCATTGAATCAGAAAGTCAAACAAATATTTAATTGATAATTAATCTCACTAAAATATCATACAGCTCTACCCAAGTGTTGTTTATTTGTCTTTGCAATCCAAAGTTAATTGTGTTTGTTCTGTTGCAGGTCACGGCAATGGCATGATCCGAATAAGGAAGAAAAATCTAGAAAGCATTGCGACTCGATCAGTCTGAACACTTGGCTCTGCACCAGGTTCTTGCATTACTACTGTGCACTCACCTGTATTTATGCATTCGTTGTATTTTTGGCTTTACTTGTATCTCTTGTTCCATAGCGCTGTGGTATTTTGTAAATCATCTTTTTTCTTCGCGCAACCCTTTGTAAATTTTGTTCATTTCCTTTCTCTGCTCGCCAGACTTGTCCAGAGGTGTCAGTTTGATCCAGTAAACATTCTACTCCAAAAAAATATTGATCCATCAGGCTCCTTTGGGGTCGCACTGTGCATCACTTGGTGTTTTATAAGTAATTCAGAAATCTGGAGAAGGGAACAGAACTGAGATAATGAACTGAGATATTATTGGTTGGAAAAAAGGACATTACCAGTAACCAAAAACCAAATATTTTCTCAGTTATAAATTTTTATATTTAAATAAAAACATATTTATAGACGTCCCTGCATGTTCCAATGAAAAGTAACGCATCAGTAGCCTAAAAAAATGAATATTTTCAATTATATCTCAACAGCAAATCACTTGAAACAAATCCTCTGAGGCTAAAGATGTTGAAGAAGATGAAAATTATCCTTCATAGTTAGATAGAACTGGTTATTATTCAAGATGTAGATTTATCATATGAAATCATTCAATCATTTATTTACAAATCGCTAAACATTTTTAGCGCATTATTTCATCTTCACTTTCTGTAGAACTTATATGTAAATTTAAAGCAAACACAGCCAAGAGGGTCAGTTTGTTCCATAAAGTCATGCATGGGTACAATCCTCATTTCTGAATCTCAATATACCCATTTCCAGAAGTCACCATTATTAAATGATGGATCTAAGTCGTGCACAACTACATGACCATAAAAGCAACAACAGAAGAAGACCAAAGGGGATCTGCTGTGAAAAAAAGGGGGTGGAAATCAACCAAAATGGATCATATATTGACTTTGTATCTCAATCATAGACTTGCAAAAAGAAAAGAAACACGGCACATGCACATTTTGTCTCAAACACAAGGTTTGACAAGCCCTTATTATGATAGAGACATTAAAACACAGGTTTCGCCTGTTTCAACACTTGTGAAAAATTTGTTTTACTCATATTAAGTGTTATAATGACTTGATCATTCTGAGTATTGTTTTGACAAAGACAAATTTGTTTTATTCCAAACACTGAATTGTCCGTACAAATAATTGTTGGTCCTTTCAGAGCAGCTTTAAAATAAACCTTGTTTCTTATTCATTAATATCATAAATGCCTATACTTATACGATATACAATAAAGGATCATTTTCTATAAACGCTTGGGTAAAACTCTACTGTATGAATACATAGCTCTTTTTGTGAGTGACATTTTTTTATGTTATAAAAGTGACCAAAACCTACTTTTGATCAATGACTCGTTTTAATGTTGCTGTCTTGATTCAAGATGAACACAAGGGGGGGGTGTTGCATAAAGGAAGCAAGTCAGCATTTGGGTATATAGCATTTTGTTTTAATGAAGCATTGTATTAGCATGATTGTAAGTATTGAAATGTAAGAGTGCTACATAATAAAGTTATACTATCTCATTTTATTTGCTTTTGTTTTCATTTATTCTATTTCCAATCAGACTGGGTTTTAGATATTTCACTGAAAAATTGACATAAAAATCCAGGGAGTCATGGCAAACTTCACATTGAAGACTTCACCTATATTTTCCAATATTTATTCTTGAGATTTGGCATATTGGATTGCACAGTGAATGAACAAATTTATGATAACGGACAGAAACGGCTACGGTTAGAAGACTTAAAACAGTTAACACAGCACCTTAGTATATGATTCTGTATTGCAATGGGGAGTACTTGTAGTTTTAAACCCACATAGAACTTTTGTCTTCAGTGTGGCTTCCGGCTGTCACTCAACATTACAATATTTATATCTTTGAGCTGTTTTAGCTTCATGGCCTGTCACTTTTAACTTAACACTACCGCTGAGCTGTTTGTCTTTGGCTCTGTTGCCCCGAGACAGAGTGGAGCTCCAACCCTCTTGAGATTTTGAAAACAGCAAAACTAGAATTTTTTATTTTTTTTTGTCAAACAATGAGGATATATGTGGTTTGTGGAAGCAAGAGCTGCACTTTGCAGTTCACTATTAGGTGAAATAGCTAAAGTCTAACACACAACTGTGCTGCATATGGCAAGAGTACTAATTTAGTTAGAGTTTCAGCAAGTATGGCTGATAGAGAACTCACAGAAACTGAGGTTCTAATTTGCCAGATACCAAGCTAATTGTTCCGTATGGTATGTATGGGAAGTCCAGTCCAAACAGACACCAACCCACAAATTAAAGACCTCAAAGTGAGTATCCAAGACACTCCAAGACAACCGGAGCTGTCTTATTGTCCAAAATGTTTTGGTGACACAAGCAAAAGTGCCTGCTCAGAATGATGCTCGTGATGTTTTGGCCGTATAAGCATTGTGAGCAAGAGAAAATAAATTTAAAACAAATTCAAGCACAGAACGGACACCGTGCTCCACAGCTGAGTCAGTGTTCAGACAGAAGAGACAACTTAGCATAGAGCCTGATTTCAATTGCAAATCAGCCTGTCACAAAGGCACGCCATTGGCTTACATAAATAGAGTGATGAGTGCTGTTCCCACATTTATCAGGTAGAAAGGATACTTTATCTGTAGTCTGTGGATGTTTTCGCGAGACCCTGATGAAATTAAAAGGGACTTATTATTTAGCCTGATTATTTAGCCTGTAATGATAACACATGTTTTTTTTTTGGCTCCTTTTAAGTGACATCCAGGTCAGTGCAAATGTCTTTTATCGCCCTTTGTTAATATTTATTATCCAGGAATCTCCAAGAGCAAAATATGTGGCCTTGAACAACAGCACTTCAACCTGTCTTAGAGTTTTTCTTTGGACGTTCCTTTTTTTCTGTTAATATCTTGTGGCTGGCCATTTTCAAATGGGCTTTTTTTGTTTTTTTTGTTTTTCCCTGTGTTTGTTCATCCAGTTAACACCGGCCTATGAATCATTCAGGCATCACAAAGACACCCAACCCTACAGCTGACAGTGCTGTCCACACGTAACAGACAACTTGATGCAGGGCCAGTTTTAAGCCGTAAATCAACCCGCCACACATCATTTGTGTCCATTAATGATAGATAGATAGATAGATAGATAGATAGATAGATAGATAGATAGAT